CAGGGGGGGCCCCCTGCCTGTGGAGAGTGAGGGGATATGATTCAGCCCCCCCTTCCTTCCTGGCGCACAGAGAAGGGCCAGAGGTAAGTGTGAGACCGTGCTGCCCAGAGGACTCACTCTCAAGTGGGGCAGTTCCTCACAGCCACCTGCCTGGAGAGCCATCCTGCCCGCTTGCCCTTGGCAGGTGTCCCCGGGGAGGGCGGGGCGGGGCGCCTGAGGGACGTCCCCCCCGGTTTGAGAGAGACCCTCCTTGTTTGCCCTCCTCAGGGCACCAACTACCAGAAGACCAACCCGCTCCTGGAGATCCTGCACACCAAGAGAAGCTCCTTCTGGGCACAGGCAGAGGTGAGAGGGCAGGTGCCAGGCTGCCCGAGGGCCAGGCTGCCGAGCGTTGGGGGAGGCGATGCCATTCCGCCTCTCTGCCCCCTCCAGAGGGAAGAGGAGCAGAGGCGCGAGGAGGAGAGGAGGCGAGCCCAGGAGGAGCGGCGCCACTGGGAGTGCCTGCGCATGGAGGAGGAGCGCCGGGAAGCAGCTGAGCGGGAGCGCCGGGTGCAAGAGAAGGAGAAGCTCATCCAGGAGCAGAGGTGGGCTGGGGCTTGCATCACGGGCCTCCGGACCCCTTCCGCAACCTGCAGATGGGGTCCAAGGGGCTGCTGCGGCTTCCGGGGGCCCTGCCCTGTTCCCACCAGTTTGCCTGGATCAATCAATCCCTACAAAGAAGGTCAGTTTAATCACTGGCTAAAATTTAGCCCTAAGTGGGCCAGTTTTAGCATGCGCAGGGTTAGGCACCGGCAACATCTGCATCCAGTCAACGACAGTCCATTTTGTGCATTACTCAGTCCTCCAAACGAAAGAGCTGGAGGGAGAGTGAGCAGCTGAGAAAGGGACTCTCCGTTCTAGAACTTATTGCCATAGTCTGGCAGCACAGAACATGCTTCCCAAATACTGATTGGCTGCAGCGGCTGAGTCACGCCTCCTGCTGCCCACCTAGCCAATGGGAAAGGGCTAATGATGCAATGAAGCCTTGCCAGAATGCTCCTGCTGCAGCAAGGGCTCATGGGATATCAGGTGCTTCCTGGAGAAAGCGGGTGACTTGGGTGTGCTGGCTA